CCCCCTGATGCACCGGCAGGATAAGCCGTGGCGGCGGCGGCGGCTCTCCAGCTTGATCCTGTACGACCGTACGACTGGACGACACTAATTGCGTGCCTGGCGGCCCTCCGTGGCCTTCTTGCGGGTCCGCTGTTGCACGGGGAGAGATCTCTCCGGGTGGCTGCTGACGTCCCCTGTCCGGGATTTCAGACTCCTGTGGCGGCGGCGGCGGCGGCGGGTGGTTGTGCGGCGCGTCGTACGAGACCCACAAGATAAAACCCCCGGCATTGCCGTCGCCGCCACCGCTCTCGCCGGCGCCTCCGCCACTGGCGTTGGCGCCTCTGCCCCTGCCGCCGCCGCTGCCGTCAAGGCCGCCGCCGCCGCCGCCGCTGGGTCGCCACTCCGCTCTGAGCCGCGCTGGGCAGTACAACATAGAGCACCGGAAGTACGAGCGGCACATGCCATCGATCCATTTTTCGCCGTACTTGCGCCACCTGCAGTACAACAGGCAGGTCGTACGGAAGTATGTCGGAACGCATCATCATCATCATCATCATGCTCATGACGCAGATCGGGTCGGGTGCAATGCAGTGTGAATGAGTGGATGTCCACACAACATAACGAAACGAAACACGCGAAACCCTACAGTATTGTATTGTCAGGAGTATAGTACGAGTCGAGTACAAGCCTAGTACGAGTTGAGTAAGAGAGAATGAGCGCGAGCTGAACTAGTACGATTTGATTCACGCGGCACACGTAGCGCCACCGGGCAAAAGCATCATAAGCGGTTGACGTCATGCAGGAGCAGGAGGTCTCCAGGCGACCAAGCAAGGCGGGATAGGGGGACGACGACGAGGAGGAGGAGGACGGCAGCAGGCGGCAGCGGGGTGAGGAGGAGGAGGAGGAGGGCAGCAGAGGCACCTTTTCGTCGCCGAAGCTACAACCTAACCTATAGCTCACACCGCCCCCACCAGAACCCCACCTCAAGGACTTCCTCCCTCGCCTCCACCACCAAAGACACACCTTCACTGTTTGTGTGGGCTTCCCCTTCCCCTTCCACTCCCCCTTCCCGCCCCTTCACCTCCCCACCTGTACTCATTCGGGAGGTCACGGCCAAGCACGGAGAAACGAGCCCTCGACGCCGGCGGAGGCGGAGGCTGTACGGCGCGGTGGAGGCTGCATGCCGACGGTAGGGGTTGTACGAGCGTCGGCGACGACGACGCGGGCTGTACGGCCGGTATATGCTGCACATTCGCCAGCGCCGGTTTGGACGGTTTGAACGTACCGTCATTTTTACGACGACGCTTGCTCGAGGGGCGGCGATGTGTGACATCCGTAGCGACAGCAGACGCCGTACACCTGCCTGAGCTGGCGGGAGCCCAGTCATTGTCGTACATGGAACCCGCAGTCGCCGATGATGGTCCCCGCTTGGCGGCGGCCCGGCCGCTGCCGGCGCTTCCCCCCGGCCGCCGTGGTGGCGGCGGTGCACAGCCTGGTAGCGCAACCCATTGACCGTCGTACGCCGGGATTGCCGCCGCCGGCTGTACAGCACCATCCGCTGCCGCGGCGTACGGCAGCAGTGGTAGCGGCGGCTGCCACTGCCGCGCCTCCTCTGGTACTTGGGGAACCGTGGGGAATGAAACTCCCTCCTGCAGCTGCCGTGGTGATAGCGGCGGCGGCAGCGGCGGCGGCGGCGGCGACCCGGGCTGGCCTGGCGGCAGCATTTGCTGCAGCACTACCGGTGAAATACCTTCCGCTAGGAGGATCGCCGCGATCTCCGATAAGGGCCCTATGACCTCCTCCTGCTGACCGTTGACCGCCTCCACCTCCTCACCCCCCTCGTCCCCCTTGGCCTCACGCACCATCAAGAGCAAGCGCGCGTCCGCTGCCGCCATTTCAGCTACAGCCCACGGCAGCTGTTCCGTCGAGCAGCAGCTTCCGCCAACCCGCGGCGTCAGAATCATGGAG